TTGAAGTGCTATATCCAGAAATTTTTTCCTGGATAATTTTTACCCCCTTCTGAAGCAGACATTGGCAGTCAGCAGAGAGTTCTTTGTTCGCCCATCAACAGGCTCATCACATGTTATCGGCTAATTTTTGAAGTAGAGATCGTTAGGCTGGAAACTCTCTTGGAACCTTTACCCCATGGCAAAGGGTATTTGAAATACCAGTGGCCTAGCATTGTAGCAACACACACAAACCACCACAGTGTGCAGCACAGCAAACTGACGAGGGTGGTGGGAGGCATAGAGGTGGAGGTCGGATTATGGGCTCTAAAAAGTAGAGCTGGTGCTGTCAGGGTGGAGTGAGGCTTCTGGTTCCCTGCTTCCTGGCTTTGTTCATTTGGGAGGAGATTTGACCTCTCTAGCAAACCTCACCTTTCCCCTGGGAGTATGGAAAGGGGGGCTGCGGAAGTGAGACTCTGGTCCTGTTCCCACACAGGTTCAGGTAAGGCACATCGGCTGCCTTGTGTAAGAAGGGTGAGGAGAAGCCCCAAGCGTTCCCTCCCCTTCCCCTTCCTTCTGTGAGCTGTGGCCCTTTCTTCACCCCTGTGAAAATGTGAGATGTGGGTAATAAGGCATCTAAACAGCTCAGAGATGTAAAACATCATTAATACGTTTTGAGCACAGGGATGGGCCGGACTCAGCTGAAGCAGAGGTGAATTGAGAAGTGCTGAAGGGGACATGGAGGAGGTCATGGGCTAAGAGGTTTGGGCCTTCTGGTAGGAAGAAGAGCAGAGCTCAGGGAGGCTGGGGCAGCCCCAGGTGGGCAGGGAGAGGGTGGGAGCTGATTCCAGGCCCAGTTTGTGATTTCTGGTAGAGCCTTTCTACCTAAATCCTGGGGGACAGGCCTACTGAGGACCTGGTGGCCAGGGGGCGCCCACGCCTCCCTCTCTTGGGAACTGACCCACATAGAACATCAGCTCTAGTGTAGCCCTGTCCTCTGGAAACAAAGTGCAGGGCCCTTGTACCTGACGGTGCCCTTTGTTTCGAGGTTTAACTTCTAGTCTCTCAGTTTTAGGAGAATAAGGGAGCTCAGTAAGAATAATTTGAGTTTTAGTAAATCATGATTGCTCTCTTTAGATGTGGTGTTTTGTGGTTTGTGGTTTTTTTCTGGCTCAGGCTGTGTTTACAGAAGGAAGGGTTTATCTTGGACATGGGGCTTCTGACTGTTAGTACACTGGAATGAGTCACAGAGGCAGATTTAGGCCATTAGATATCAGTGGCGACACCCTGAGTTGTGCCCGTGGGGCACTAAGGAAAATCCTCCTGACGAGTTTTTCAGGAGTGGGGAGGCGCTTGGGCCAGGAAAGGGTAATCTGCCCACGTCGTCCCCCCTGTTCTCACTGAGGAGAGTGTTCTACAAAAGAGTTGTGTTGGGCCGTCAACTTTTTGTCCCTATCCGTTCACAGTGTCCATCCCATTCTGAGTCAGAGAACCTGGGTGGGGGGCGGATTCAGGGAGGGAGGGGAAAGCTAGGAGCCAGAGGGGAGGAGCAAGACAGGGAGGAGGAGGGTAAAGGGGAGGATCAGGAGGAAAGAAAAGGGAGCAGAAGACCAGGGAGGGGGCAGTGTCTGGAGCCACAGTCTTATTGGGTTTGTCACCTAGAAGGAATTTCCTCAGCTATTCTAGGTTTTTAGGGTGCTCTGGTGGCAGTCCCTAGAGCGCTGTGCTGCTAACCCCAAAGCTGAGCTTCCCTGGCCATTCGAATCCATCAGCAAGTCCTCCTGCAGACAAAGATGGACAATCTTCTGTGTGGTTTCCAGCCTCAGACACTCAATGGAGGATCAGCTATGAGTGAGACAGGGAGAGAAATCAATCCATTGGCCTAGGTTTGGGTTTTCCTGGCTACGTTGGAATTCTGTCGGGGCCCATGGATGCAGGAGGAAATTTTGCTGCAGGCCTGCGTCCTCTCTCCCAGGCCTCACCAGCCCTCCTCCTGCCCCTGCAGATGGAAGCAGGCCTGGTGGGAGGAAGGGAGAGGCAGCTCTGCTCTCTCTCCCACCCCACCCCCAGCTCTGCTCCTAGTGGCTCCTTTCACTCATGGAGTATTTTTACTTTTCCCTTGTTACATGATCAAAGGAAGGAAGGGAAGCTAAAAGAGGCAGCGGTTTGCTCAGCTCTTTGGAGAAGTTCACCAAAGGCAGGCTTGGATTGGCCTGAGGGGTGGAGTGGAACCCCCTGTGGCCAGCTGCTGAGGCTCAGGCAAGATGTGGTCTCCATTCTCCTGTGTGTGTGTGTGCGTACACACACTCACATTCTCAGCCCAGACATGCCAGGCGTCAAGGAGAAGCCAGTGTTGAACCCCTAAGAAGCATCTGGAAGCTGAGCTGGGGTTGGAAGCTGTTAAGCACAGATCTCCCAGCCTGAAACTGCCCCTCTGTATCCGCACACTGCTTGTCTCAGTGCCAAACATCTCTTCAATTGAAATGCTTAGAAACCAGTCATGAACTCACAGGATGTTAGAACTGAGTGGGGCCGAGAGCCTTTCTGGTCAGCTCAGTACAGAGGTCGGGGCCTGTGCACCCCTGACACGCCACATGCCTTGGACTGTATGACAGTTCAGGCCTCAGCTTCGTCGTCTTTGAGCTAGGGATAAAAATACCACTTACCTCGTAGGGAAGTAAAGTGAGGATTACACGAGAAAATGTAAGAAAAGCACTTAGAGCGAGCACATAATAAAATGTTGACGCTTGCTATTATTTCTCGGCTGGGCGGGCACTCTTGTTTGAACAGAACGTTGTTTCCAGATGTATAGCATCTCTCGATCTGCCCTGGACACAGACCAGTCAGTCAGTGGTTCCCCTCGTCTTGTGAGAGTAGAAAATGGCTTCAAACATTTCCAAACGCCCCTTCAGGCTGGGCTGTGAGGCTCGGCTGCAGCTTCTCTGGTTTCTCTTTTCAGTCTTGCCTGGTTCTGATATTCAGGCACAGAGCCTCATCGTCTCACTCCCTATAGCCATCTGGGGAGGAAAAACCAAAAGCCAGTTGCCATCAGATTGATTCATACTCAAGACAACTCCATATGTGTCAGGGTAGAACTCCAATCTGTAGGGTTCCCAGTGGCTGTTTTTTAGAAGTAGATTGCCAAGCCTTTCTTGCAAGCTCTCTCCAGGTGGACTCGAACCTCCAACATTTTAGCTTTAGAGCAGTTGTATAATTTGCATCAGTGTCCTAGAAGTCACTTGGAACCACTGCCTGGGAGCTCTGGTGGTCAAGTGGTAAGAAGGGACAATGCCTGGGCAAGCTCCTCGCAGTGATTTACGCCTCTGAAAACCCACTGGAGCTGTGAGTCAGTTCCGACTCCATAGTACACAACAGCAACAACAATTTCTTGGAAAGAGATCTAATAAACTCATTCACATGAAGGTGTGGGTAATGATGACGGCTTCATATTGTAAGTCTCCTTCACCCTTGTCTTTTAGCAGTCTAAACCTTCCCCAAAGCACTGACCCCTGGCTTCAGAGGTGAGGCCTGTGCTGTGACCTCCTACAGAAAGCTTCCCTGACGGCCGCAGCTTGGGGTGTCCTCAGTGTTGAAGTCTGACTGACTTGAACCCAGCTTGACATGCTGTTGGAAGAGTTACATGCTGCTACTAGGCCATTGGTTCACTTGCAGAATGGTGCTAAGGAGACCTATTAGCCATGCTTTTGACCTCTGAGGAGCTAACAGGGAAGAAGCATTTGGATGTGGTGTTGGTCCGCAGGTACATGTATGCCAGAAAAGCTGAGGCTGGATTCTAGGGCCCTGAACTCTCTTCTCTTCCTTGTGGAAAAAGGAGGGCCAGGGACCCCAGGAAGTGAGGAGGTCATGGCTCTGGGCCTCCCACTTGTCCTTGATAGAGGAACCAGGTCTAACTTAAACCTCTGTTTCAACTGGCTAGGGAAACTGAGGTTCAGGAAAGGCCAGTGGCTCGCAGGCCCACATTAGACAAATCTTTTGGGGAAAGGGCCTTGGCTGGAACCCTCGCCAAGCCCTGACTCAGCCTCCAGCCCTCTCCCTGTGGTCTCCTAAATTGAGAGGAGGGAGGCTACTGGCTTTGAGCAGGGAGGCTGGGACAAGAGAAAGAACCCCCAGGGGAAATTAGCCCAAATTAGCAGTGAGAATGAGGAAGAGCTGGTGTTCTCTCCTCTACCCTTGCAGATAAATATTTAATCACAACAACAATAATAATGACGATGATCATGATAATGTGCAGTAGCTCAGGCTGTAACCCGAGCCCCACTCTCAGAGGTAGGAAGTGGGGAGAGGGAGAAAGAGCAAGCTAGAAAGAAAGCCAGAAAGTGGGAGACGGAGGGTGGACTAGCAAGAGACAAGGAGACAGGGCCTTATGGAGGAGAGGCTAGATTTATCTCCGCCTGGGGCAGGTGCGCAGCTGAGGTGGAAATGTGAAAGTGGGAGGGAGAGTTCACCTCGTATTGCCAGATTTCCTCTGTCCCCAGCAGACTCATCTCTCCCCGGTCCTGCTTGGCTTTTAGAGTGAGCAAACCCTCCTCGAACCTGATAAGATTTCCCCCTGAGTGGTATCTTTCCCCCCTTCCTCCTCTTACAGTCCTCAGGACTCAGTTTTCTCATCTCTAAAATGGGTTTGCACTTGCTCTGCCTCAGGGAGAGTGGGACTGGTTTCTTGCAGCTCTGTCATGTGGGTGAGCGTTGAGGAAGGTTCCTCCTCCACCTAAGTTAGATTGAAGCTGTTCCCTGGAACATGTCCTCTCTCATTCCCTGGGCTTCTGATGGCAGTGGATATAGGCTTCAAGAAGTCTTCAAACATGACCTAATTTCTGCCTTAAGTGCTCCCATTTAAACCAGAGTTGAGCAGCAGCCGGGAGAAAACCAAGTTCAGGAGATTTATGGAGTCTTTGGAGATAACCTCCAGCATCTCCTCTGTTCCGGCTCCTGATGAGAGATCAGAATAGCTAATGTCTTCCATGAGCTTCTGTTTGATACTCTCTATCTCTTTTCCTTCTAAGGTTGGTAGGAGGAGAGGATCCGAGCTGTTTTCTCCTTGATGCCAAGATTTGGAAAGTGCACATCTTTCCACTGTCATCACCAAGGGCTGGCCCGCAGGACGTGGGGACGAAGACCAGAGCCTTGCTACCATCCCGGCCACCGTCCACTGCCTGTGGTGGCCATGGACTGTGCAGAAAACTGAGCTTCGCCCTGCAACAGGAGGAGGTGGCAGAACTCACCAGTATGGTCCACCGGATTGGCTGCCCTCAGCCGCCCTGCTGCTAAAGCGACCCTGGAGAGACTGGTGGGGACCCAGGCTGTGCAGCCAGGGGCCTGCTGGGGCTAGGAGCAGGGCCTGCCGTTCATGGGTCTCTAGGAATTTCCGAGATGCCTGGCAAGAGAGGCTGCGGCTGGTGGCGGGCTCAGCTGCCCCTTTGCCTGCTCCTTAGCCTTTACGGCCCCTGGGTGCCTTCCTCCCTGGGGAAGCCCAAAGGCCACCCCCACATGAACTCCATCCGTATAGACGGGGACATCACGCTGGGTGGCCTATTCCCCGTGCACGGCCGGGGCTCCGAGGGCAAGGCCTGTGGAGAGCTCAAGAAGGAGAAGGGCATCCACCGTCTGGAGGCCATGCTCTTTGCTCTGGACCGCATCAACAATGACCCGGACCTGTTGCCCAACATCACGCTGGGCGCCCGCATCCTGGACACCTGTTCCAGGGACACCCATGCCCTGGAGCAGTCGCTGACCTTTGTGCAGGCGCTCATCGAGAAGGACGGCACGGAGGTCCGATGTGGCAGTGGCGGCCCACCCATCATCACCAAGCCTGAGCGTGTAGTGGGGGTCATCGGTGCTTCAGGGAGCTCGGTCTCCATTATGGTGGCCAACATCCTTCGCCTTTTCAAGGTTAGTGCCTGGCTGGCTGGCCTCTGTGCGCTCTTCCAGTAGACCTAGCCAGCCTCCTCTTCTCCAGGCTCCGGGCAGCTTTCCTCTGTGAGCAGTGTTTGAGAATTTGGGGGTAATTTTGGGAGTAGAGAAGAGTGAAGGTATGTGGAGGGAGCCCACGGGTACCACTGACCATGGTGCTGAAAAGGCTCTTGTCACCACAGGCTCTCATGAGAATTCTGAGCTAGAACAGAAGGGAGGAGATAGATAGGTAGACAGACATAAGAAATCATAGACTGATAGATAAACAGATAGCTAGAATGGGCATGGGAATGTAGGAGATTGCCAGGGAGGAAATGAAAGACTTCTGTTTTGTTTTTTTTGTTTTTTTTTTTAAGACTTCTGTTTTGACATTGTTTTCAAATAATGGCAATTCTCAGGAAAAACATATATTCCTTTTGGGTGGTTGAGGAATGCATGTGGTCTTCCCACCTCACCCTGAGATGGTTCGAAGATATATCCCGGTGTTTTTTTTTTTTGTGGAGGGTAAGCCTCCTATATTGGCAGGGAATGGAGATGAGGATAGAGAAAACAAGCCAGGAGGCCGCAGGCGGGTGTGCTCTGGGGGCCTGCACCCAAGCCTCCCTCTCGTATTTCCTCCCTCTGCCCTTCTTCCTGCACACCTTTCTCCCTTCCCTTCTGGAATCCTTCCCTGCCCCCTCCTCGCCGCCTCCCTTCCTCTCTTCCTGGGGCAAGAGCTGCTGATTTGCAATTCAATTGGAGCCAAGTGCTTCGCTAAGCTGCTAAAACAACTGAAAGCTACTGGGTAGAGAGAAAAACATTACAAGCATTTTACCAATAATTATGTGCCCGCTCCTCTCTCTCGGAGCCTGCCTGGTTTGCTCTCTGTGTGAGCGTATCTGTGTGAGCGTGTAAGTATGTGTATGTGTAAGGTGAGAGAGAGAGAGAACGGACGGATGCACGAGGAAGCCGCTGGGCTGCCCCCTCCCCACCCGGGCGTCATCTCTCAGCCTCTGGAGCTGGCCCTCTCTCTTCTCAAAGTCTCCAGAGTTATGGAGTGGGCTGAGACAGGCTGTTTAGCGGGGTAGGAAAAGCTGAGGCTGGATACTTCTCACCTGGGCCTTTTCTGGAAGCCATTAGCCGAACTCCCAAGATGCATCTGTACTTGGGAGTGTCTCTGGGGGCTGGAGCAGGAGGAGGAGGAGGAGGAGGAGGAGGAATGACAAAGGAGGCTTGAGTTTTGAGATGGGGGTTGGGAAGGTGGTGATGGAAGGAAGATGGACTGAGCTGGGCTGGGAGCCAGAAAGGAGCCTGAAGGGGTCCTGTCGCAGTCTCTGGGCTGGTCTTGGGCCTCTCAGGTTGTGACGCCTGTTTGCCCTGTGTCCACAGCGTTTGCTTGTGCTGTGTCGTTCTCACAGAAAGGGCCTCTTCTGAGCATTGGTTTTACCTGATGACCTGGATGAAAACACTATTTTAATTTTAAAATAAATGGATGCATTATGAAGGATGATGCAACATTTGTATGTGGTTTTAAGATGCAGCGGGAGACTTGAAGGAAATTTTGCCCTTGTAGTGAACAATTTAAACACTCCCCAGGGTCTTGTGTTCACTCCTGGTTATCTTTCAGGGTTCCTGAGCAGAGCAAGGTTTAGGAAGGTCCAGTCCTTCCATCTCATTCCATTTGCAGTGAGAAGTTGAGAGCCAGTGGGGAGGAGAAGCAGGAGGACCCAGAGCTAGTGGTCAGGGCCTGGTGATGGCTGGGGACAGCTGAGTCATCACTTCTGCCTGCTGGTCCAGGCCTGGGAGACAAAGCAGGCAGTGCTGGTCATGAGAGCAAGTCAGGGCTCCTTGTTATCCTGTCAGCGTGGGACACAGCACTTGAGACCCCCACCTCCTACCCGAAAGCCAAACCTCTAATGGGACTACTGCATTCTCCTTACCTGAGCTTTTTAATAGACATGGTTTTTCACTCTGAGTGTTTTTAGAAAGATGGTAAACTACCTCCCGGCTGTCTGCTATCATTCAGGGAAGTCAGGCTGCTTCACAGACAGTGAGGGGGTCATAGGGGCTAAAAGGGCCCATCACTTGGCGCATGTCATAGGTTTAGAGAATGGTCACTGTTAATATTAAGCCTTACAGTGTGTTCTTGGAAACCCAGCTATTTCAAGATGAGGTTATTAGTATCCTAAACAGAAGAGAGGGCTGTGATCAGGAAGTTTGGGAGGTGGGCTGCCTAGGGTCCAACAGCTGAACAGCCAGGTGCTCATGGCTGGTCTTCATCCTCTCCCCACAGAGTCAGCTATGCACGTGGCCACAGCCTCAGTTTGCCTCCTCAGGCCAGAGGAGTTGGAGGGGGCTGGGACTCCAGGGTCAGGGGTTTTCCAGGCTGCACAGAGAACAGCCAGCAGAAGTGGGAAGGAGAGAAGTGAGAGGTATCAGTGGGGAAGGAAGGAGGGATGGGGTTAGTAGGGGAAGAGAAGAATAGGAGGACGGGGAGATAAGAACCATGGGGAGATAGACAGCTGTGGTCTGTGTTCCCTGGGTCCCTTTTAACAGCGTTAATGTTCTAAGCTGGCGACAAGAGGGCTCCTCAATAATTAAACTGAAAGAAATGAGAGGCAGGGTGAGAAACTTAAAAGCCATTTACAGAGACAAAATGATTGAACTTTGGGGAGGGAGGTCAGCAGTGGGAGCCTCAGGAAGGAGAAAGTGAGGGAGGGACATTTGGGCGTGCAGGAGGGAGGCCCCCTTCTCTGGCCTCTAGGGTCTGGACTGGCAGGTGTCCATTTCAAAGGGCACCTTAGTGACCCTGACCCCTTTTCTGGCTCTCTGACAAGGCGCTTAATGGGGCCTGTTGGGAACTTGGCATCTTAGGCTGTGATTACAGCTATCCTTCCTGCAAGAGGTGGATTTCCGGGGTGTAAATCAGAGAAGAGTCTGGGTTTGGGGGCGTTTCCTGCATGAGAATGCTAATGATATGCAGTCAGGGCCTGGGCTTGAATAGAACTTACAGTTGTCAGAGGTGGAAGGGATCATCTTGTTGTTACACAAACAAAGTCAGAGCCTAGACTATTACCTTCCAGATCCCCTGCTCATATAAACTGATTTGGAAGTGACACTCGAGCCAGCCCTTCTCTGGGACCATATACCTCTACTCTGGGAAGTTATGGGTCTGGTGGCTATATTCTTAACTTTTCTGTTCCCATGCCTTATTTTTTGGCTTCAGTCTCCCAGGACAAGTGTATATTGATGGCTATGTAAATACCTTCTGGAGGGCATCCCAAGTGCAGAGGTTTATTTAGCCCTAGCTCTGGAGCCAGGTAGGTCTGGACTCGAATCTCTCCTCTACTAGAGTATTTAATTCTGCTCTTCATATCAGTCATGCACACCATAGTGTAAATGAGCCAACAAGAGCTTTTCCTTGTTGCTTGAGAACAGACATTATTGAAGGTGGAAAGCAGATCTCTCCCAGGGCCCTGAAAGCAAGCTGTTTCCAAACCTTGGGGTCAGAGGGATTTAGTGACCCAGAATTCATTTTCATTCAGCTCCTCATTCATTTTTCAGTGGAGAAAACGGAGTCTCAGAAAGGGGAGTGGCAACACAGGGTGGTGGTTCAGAATTTGGGCATTGGAGCCAGGGGTTTGATCACCTGGGCAAGTGGCTTAACTGTCCATTGCCTTCAAACTCACTGCACTAGAGTCAGTTCTGACTCTCAACGACTCTCCAACAAGTTTCTGAGGCTGTAAATCACAATAGGAAGATAATGCCTGGTTTTCTCTTGTGGAACCACTGGTGGATTTGGACCAACGAGTTGTGCAGCCTTGGTTAGGAGCACTACGGGCTGGACTCCAGAACTCCCTGTGCCTTGCTGTTGTTGTGTGCCGTCGAGTTGGAACCGACCTGCAGCTGACCCACCGGTGGGTTTTCAGAGGCAGTAAATTGCACCAGAGGAAACTGCCCATCCTTCTGCCCTGGAGCAGCTGGTGGATTTGAACCACGTGACTTCGGCATCGCAGCACAGCTTCTTGTCATTAGATCACCAGAGTTCTCCACTATGCCTTAGTTTCCTCATTTATAAGATGGGAATGATAATGGTCTAAACCTTATAAACCCTCACTCAACTCTTTGCCATTAAGCTAGAACCAACTCCTACCTGACCCTCCACTGGATTTTGGAAGTTGTAATTTGTGTGGGAGGAGATTGCCTATATTTCTCCCTTGGAGCAGCTACTGGATTTGAACCACTGAAGAGATGCAGCCTTTGGGATAGCAGTGTAGCTCCCTAGGGACTGGGCCACCAGAACTCTCCAAACCTTATAGTCTAGGTAAGGAAATTAAGGGTTAATGCCTGGAAAAGGCCCTGCACAGTGCCTGGCACACAGTCAGCCCACAGGAAATGTCATAGCACAGCTTGTAGCTGGGCCTTAAGTCAGCAGGAGAGACTCCACCGATGCAGAAGAGGCTGGAGCGGGCGGGCAGTGACAGACGGTGACCTTTGTGGCTGATCCTGAGAGGACCTCACCATCTGCTGGGCCTCTTGCATCTTCCTGCCTTGTGTTGAGACTATGCAGCAAGCCTCCCTTTGTCGCTGTCACAACAGTGGGGCTTGTGGAATGGTGTGGAAGGGGGGCAGGAAGGGACAGGCAAGAGAGGGGACAGAGGGACATAGCCCACAGGTGGTGGGCAGGTGTCACCCCCCAGCCTGGCCCATGAGCACTCTTTTCCCCATGCGGGACTGTAGGTGCCGTGAAGCCTGCTTCTAGAGAAACATGGGCTTCCTCGCGCTTTCCTCCTCTGTTCTCAGCATCTAGGGCTCCTGGAGAATCTTTGTGGCTTTGGTAACACAAGAGGTTTTGTTGGGGATGTGGCTTTTGTGTCTTCAAAGTGTTTTCATAACCCAACCAGGAGGAGCCTGGTTCACTAACCCTCCACATCCTCTCCATTTCCCTTGACAGGGCCATCCTTCCAGCGCCCAGACACTGGGTGCCACTTGTAACCACT